CATTTTTGCCCTAATATTGCCTCGAAATTTTTATCATTCCACCTTAGACAATGCGATAAAGCGACTAAGATGCAATGCTTGCTGAACATGAAAGAAAACGTTAAAGTTGAGATAGGATAAAAAAAGGAGTCAAGAAGACAAAAGACGAAAATTGACGTGAAATTTAACTTTTTGAAGGTCGTAGTTGACAGGTAAGCATGAAGCTGTAAGAGAGTTACTCAAGCAAGACGTGCCTACTACGATACTCAGGCGCAAAATGTGTCTAAGTACTTGAAAAACATTCTTGGCTCTAAATATCTGCACGCCCTTCACCAATGTAAGCAATGATAAATGCATCCAATAAAAAACAGTTACGCGAGACAGAGGTCAGCATCTGTCCAGGCCACACATTCATTTGCGACTGAAAAGTCTGCCTAACGATCATCAATCAAGAAATTGAGCCGGCTTATCAGAATCAAGTACATTCCGAAATATAGAAGTACTACTGGGGGAAAAATGAACAAAATAAACAATCGGTTGATTTTGATTTTTTATAACTAAAGAAACAAAGTTACTGTCTTATTTTATTTTCTGTTGTCGTTCTTTTTTACGAAGTACAGGGTCCTATGGATAAACTTTCCTCTAAATTACGCACAAATGTAAATAATACTGACATCTCATTTTAACAAATATATTTACCAAAATTACACAAAAATATCTTGAAATAATAAAGAGTAAATTTATTCAATAAAATCGCCGTTGGCTTCAACTACGGCCTCCAGACGACTTCGGAATCTCCTGCAACTCTTCTGGACGGTCTCCTTGTTTAAAGGGATAAATGCTGCAATCATCCTTGCCTTCAGTTCATCTTTGGTGTTGAACGAGTTTTGTTGGTATCTCACTCAACTGCGCCCTGCACATAATAATCAGGGGGGGTTGCAATTTGCGCAATTAGGTGGCCAGATGTAAGAAATGATATGGTCAGAGAAATTGTCTGACAGGTATTACTGCGTTCTCTTGCTTGTGTGTCATGGTGCAGAGTCCTGTTGTCAGATATAGGTTTTTCCAGAAGCCACCCTTTTGACCCAGGGAACCACTACCTCCTAATGGCACTTGATGAAGGCCTCCCTATTGAGTCTGAGGCCTTCACCAATAAATTTGGAAATTCTTTTTACCTTCGTAATCACCATTAGACTCATCTAACTCTTTGCGAATTTTCTGCACTGTCCTCAGATTGACACCCAAATACACTGAAATCTTCGTATTGGAGTTTCCAGCGCGAATGCTAAATACTACAGGATGGTGTTTCCAGATTTCTGGCGGAGTGAATTGCGGCATGGTGCTCTTTTTCGCACAGACGGTGCCCAACTGACCCTACTATACTGTGCAGTCGACAAAATCAAAAAGGAACGCGCATGCGCGGAATTAAGAAATCTGAAATAGTGACTATTATCCTATCGCATCCTATATATATAAATCAAAAACAAACAACGGGCACGCACGAAATTAAAAATATAAAATGTCTACAATTTACCCATTACACCTTACTTTTTCACTAGACCTTAAGTATTGTTGTTTACCAAATACAAATGACTACACGATGACGCATTTTTATATCCAGCCCTTACTGGTAAGGTTGTTATATTGCACGACACGCTTATTATTTTTCAAATAATTTTGATCCGCCTTTATTTAACTTAGCTATTACTCTGCGGTGAAGCGACTGAAATTTACTTGTTGCTGGCGCCGTATAACCAGGTTACAGGAAGCAACAGTGTCCGGAAAATGGATTGTAAAATATGACTGAAAAAGTAAGTTTTCGCTGGGAGCGTACATATTTGGTGTAAAAGTTTGTAAGAATGGAAACCGTGACATTGTGACCCAGAAATATTTGTAATTTTTTTTTTCTTTCAAAACACACGCAAAAGTCAACCCGATTATGAGGAATGCTCTTTGTAAAATCATCGTAAGTCCTATGACCGGATTTGGTTGTGAAGCCGTTGCGCAGCTGATTACCAGATATGTCGAGTTTAAGTGCCAATACGAAGGATCTTCACGCCCATTCAGATATGTTATCAGTCCATCTTTCCTTCTCTCTGCATCTATTTCTTTTGCCTAAAGGGTAACGTTTTAGGTTGTAGGTTGTCAGCGGGATAGATTGTTTGGTCTCATATCGTGTCTGTACCATTTAAAATTGCTTTTATTGACATTTCTTCCAACGGGTCTTCTATATGATGCTGTCTCACAATCTTTAACTTTTTCACAAGTTTATCATCAACTGTAATCTTCATCGGGATAAAATCAATTTAAATATCCCAACCATTTATTGAACTTTTTGTTTCAGTTTATTTATTTAATAATTAGTTGTGTATTAAAACAAATTACTGTATATATATTCAAGCTTCAAAATCAATCAACATTTTCTTTTGCTATTAAATCTATAAAACAATCCATGTATATATATATATATATATATATATATATATATATATATATTAAAGACATATTAAAGATATGTTCTTTTTATAGATAATAAATAAATTATAATAATAATAAATTGTCGGACTTTGTCCATTTCTTATATATATATATATATATATATATATATATATATATATATATATATATATATATATATGCGGCAAAGAATGGATATTGTCAATAATATATGCATATTATTTGAAATGCACCATTTGAGTTGGACAATCTTTGAAAGTGATGAGGATGACATTCTGACTTATGGGGGAAAGGATGCTGTGACGAACGGGGCCCTGAATCGTGTGCAGAGATGTCTGTCAAAATCAGTTACATCTGAGTTTTTTTCGTTAGCAGCAGAACAGCTTGTCATGTTTAGATACGGGCCTCTCTGCAACTTGTCTAGATCCGGGTTTCTGTCAGCAAGACTCAGTGTCTTGTGAAGTCGCTACCGAAAGTATTTTCTTCCTAAAGTCGCTAAAGGTGCTGCCCGCCATGCAGTGGCTTCTGAGGCAGTGTTATTTTTGGAAATTCTGGTAAAATCTTTGGCTCATTCTATACCCCGCCAGAAAGTACCCGACTCCCTATGTTATACTTCATGTTTACAAGAGTTCGATTAAACTAAGAATAAAGTACTGCACCAAATCTGGATCGAAACTGCTCAGTCCTCACATTCCCGCCTTGACAGACTTAAAAATCGTTCATGCGATCTTCTTTTCTGTCTTATTTTTCACACTGCTTTCTCTTTTGCAACGTCGTAAGACTCCTGGGTATGACGATAAACTACACCCGGCAGCAAGGCCTCTGCTCAGGAGGATATGAGGAGCGTGGAAGCACCTCTTAATTGCTGGTGTTCCCATGACCACCATGAGCCGGGGTGGTAGCACCTGTTAGGGACTCTGTTATGGGCAAATAGTTAACCCCCTAAACTGGAGTCAAAACACTATGAAAGTTTAAAAGTAGGTTTTAATACCATAAATACATATTTGTAAAAATATTACCAGCAATTACTTTTTGAAGAAAGAAATTATTAACAGCAATAAATTTAAAAAATTAAAAAATAAATATTACCAACAAACAAAAAAATATTACCAAGAATACACTTTTCAAAAAGATTATTACCAGCAATAAAAATCCTGTCGGCATTACATAAATCATTGAGGTTGATATGCCGTAAAACAAAACAAACCAAAAATAATAGATAGATAGATAGATAGATAGATAGATAGATAGATAGATAGATAGAAAATATTACCAGCAATAAAAATCTTGTCGGCATTACATAACACATTGAGGTTGATATACCGTAAAACAAAACAAAAAAAAACTACCAAACCAAGCAACGTCGCAAGCTCATTGCTGTTCCCTGACACATGTCCAAATGAGTTCTCTTTTTGCCCATTCTTTTACTGCTAAGACACGACATGCTACTTCCAAAGAGCCGAATCATCATCATTTCCTCCGTATTCTAAATGTTAAAGGAAAGTTCCTTTTCTTAAGAACTGATACTTTGTGGAACGGACTCCATCCTGGATGCTTCTCTAAACGTTATTCTTTAGTTTCACAAGTTCAGACTTTTACAGAAAGTAAACACGCCATGACACTTCCACGGAGTTGAATTATCCTCATTTCCTACCTGTTCCAAAGGTAAGAAGAAAATTCCAATTTTTTTCTCAAAATCCCACTTTGTGCGACAGGCTCCCGTGTGGATGATTCCCTGAAAACTACACACTTAACTTCTTCACGTCAAGGGTCAATCATTATATATCCTCCTTATCCTTATAATCTTCATTTGCTGCAACTCATTCTTTCATTCATATCACCCACCTCATTCAGCAACTATCTAGCTTGAGTGACTCTCGAGCTCTGTATTTGGTGAATCCTAGAATAAAAATGAATAACAGGCGTGAGGTTGATGTTTTTTTTTGAAGGGGGGCGTCGAAGGAAGCATACCAAACCAGTGAAATTAAATATTAAATAAATATTTAACACAGGGAGACTGTTATATAAGAAAAAAAGTGTCGCTGCCAACACTTGAGTTTGAACATAGATCGCCAGTGAGCAAACACGGGCGATCCCATTACTGAATTATGTTGATCGCTGACCATAGAGGAAACGCACATATAGGAAGTCGCGTGACGTCTAGATTGATCGCCATTCTAGTCTATCTTCCATTACTATTTACGGATCGCTATTTCTAGCCTATCCTCTATACTATACGAATCATCATTTCTACTCTATCCTCTATTACTATACGGACCGCTATTCTCTACTCTATTCCCTATACTATTTCTCTATTCGGATCACTATACGAATTACTATTTGAATGAGTATAATCGAGCAAGTACTATTAGTGCGAGTGATATTCGATGGCGTCTGATACCAGTATTGTTCAACGGCATACTACAGTTGTATCTGCGATTACAAAGCCTCTACTACAACGAGAATGACGAAAGTGACAACGAGTATTCGTTGGTATCACAAAAGTGGCAACGAATGTTTGTTGACATCACAAAATTATCCATTACACTATCTGTGCATCTAAGCTTACAGCACCTGGTATTCCCAAGCGGTCACCCATCTCGGTATTAATCAGGCTCGAGGTTGCTTAACATCGGTGATCGTGCAGGTGTTTAAAAGTGGTATGGCCGTTTTTGTTTTTTTTTTACATAATAATGTCTGACCCCAGTATTATTCAGCGGCGTACTATAGTTGTATCTGCGATTACAAAGTCTTTACTAAAACGAGAATTACGAAAGTGACAACGAGAATTCGTTGACATTACAAAAATGTCAAACGAGTGTTCGTCGACATCACAAAAGACACGTATATAGATACAGCTTCATAGGTCCCGCCAGATTACGCTCTATAAAGCTAAACAGCAATTTCCTATATTACAGATCGCAGGAAGTGATAAATATTATATGGGGAGTTTCATACCATGAAGATAAAAAATAAAATAGGTATTCTTTTTCATCACCTTCAGGAAGTTGGCGATCATGGCTCTCCACAATTTCCTGTTCTTTTTGCTATTAATATCTTTTATCTTTTCGCCATCTCTCCAATACCCTGTTCCGCGATATATTTGCTCAAGCTTGTCAGATAAGTTGCGCGTTACTTTCCTACGCCCGTCTTACCTTCAGTCTATCCTGTGAATGTCAAATTTTCCAAGCCTTCTTTCCTTATTATCTACATTTTGAACTGTCTCTTTCTGATGTTAGGCATGCGTTATGTTTGTTGTTTATATGTTCGTCCATGGTATTCTCAGCTTCCTTTTGTAGAAGCACGTTTCTGTTGTGTCAAGTCTCTTCTTCATGTGTAAGGAGATTGTTCAGCATTCACTGCCATATATGCCCACCCATGCTACATAACAGTTTAGTAGTTTGTCTTTGTTTCTAGCGATATTTTTTTGCTTCTTAATACTTTACTCAGTTTTTGGAAGGCATCTTTCGCCATCCCAATTTACTTTCGTATATCAGTATCGCACTTTAACACGCTTCCCAGATATTTAAACTGATGCGCCTGTTTCATTTAGACATCTCCAATCTGTAATTTGCATGTTGGATTGTTCTTTTTGCTAAGAATCAAGCATTCAGTGTTCTTGTACGTAGTCCTTTCTTCTGGCTTTCCTTCACGACCTTCTGTGGGGGTTCCTCTCGTTTCTTTTCTGCGTCTGCTATCAACGCGCTGTCATCTACGTTATCTTTTGTTGCTAAGATTGTGGCCGCCAATAATGAATCCTGGTAGGACTTCTAATTATCTCAGCATCACCTCGCTATATAGGTTGCAAAGTTCCGGCGAAAGGACGCATCTTTGTATTACTTGTTTGTTTTTTTGTTTTTTGTTTGTTTGTTTTTTTTTTTTTTTTTTTTTTTTTTTTTGTATATTAACTAAACTAACGGTATTGGTTTTCTGTGTTGTTCTAGACGTTAATACCTGTTTCTCTTTATCGACAATCATCTCTTATATTTCGTTGGACATTCTCTCATTCAAATCTCTTAAAGTGGTTATTGTGTATCAGACATGGTATTCAAAGAAGTCCATAGTAGACAGATCTCTAGCGTATTCCCTGTGAGGCAATAAGTCTTTGTCCACATTCTTATTGGCATCAGATTAACAGGATGTCGCTCAAAGGGTGTCAAGAGATTCCATTATTCTGTAGACTCCTTGTCTATATTTACTTCAAACTATATTTTAAATCCACTGCTCAGACAAACCGCCTTGTGATGCTGTTGGAAAAAGAAGTTCTTATTCCGCTTCATCTTAGGCAGAATTCTATTATTTTGCAATATAACCTAATGATCTAAAAAGATTGCTAGCAAATTATTCGTGTTCCATTCTTGATATTTGCTCTATTTTCATTATTCAGACTGTCGTCATCATCTTTGTTTGCATATTCACGATCTTTCGGCCGTTGTACGCTCCGACCTTCTTAAGGTGATTGGAATTTCAAACCGAACCTTTTATTTCGTCCACCGAAGTAATCTCTTCTAGTTCCACACGCCATGCCTTTTCTGGATATCTCAGTTTCGGTTATTTCCCTTAGTAGTAATTCAACTCACCAAGTTGTATATTCACCTTTGCTGTGGCCAGGTATTGAACTCAGAACTCTTTGGGTTACTTATTGGATTACTGTTGTACTAAACCCTCCTACAGTAGAATGAACTCTTCCTCCTCTCATAAATACTAACAGCAAGAGTTGGTTTGGGAGCGTAGACGCAGTGTTAACCTACCATTCGGACGTACACCTCTATCTGCTTATTACTAACACTCTTGCTTTGTAAATAGGGATTTTCTAAGCGGAGCTTAGATGTGGCACAAGGCCGAAAGTATAGAGCACCCAGTGAGGATCGAACTCACTACTCAATCGTAATTGTTCTAGCGAGACAAGCTTACTAACCATTACATTACGTCGAGGTGCCCATCTTGCTTTGTATATATCTGTTATTTCAATACACTTGTTCAACCTACCTTCGTCTTCCATGTCTTTCTTTTCTGGCCCCTAAACAGGCCACAACGGTTACTTCAACCAATGCTTTCATCCTCATTCTGTGTTTGTTGTAACCTGTTCCACGTGCCATGCCTATTCTTAACTCCCTCCTTATCTCAGTTAACTCCCTTTAACTCAACTCTCCGATTTTTTGTTCACTGCCGTAGCCACGGTTGGAACTCACAACTCTTTGGGTTAATTCACTAGATTCAGCCAATACTTTTATCCACTGTGAGGATATCAGTGTATGAAGATTTTAGACTTCTCATCCTAAAGTCTATAACCATTTTTACCAGAGCTCATATTGTAATTTTGTTGTTATTTTTGCTTTTCTCTAGCACTCCATATTACTGGTTCCCATATTGTATTCATTTCTATGCTTGGCCGCTTTAGGAGATTTCTGTAGCCGAGGCATATGCGCTGATCCCTTAAGTTTTCGTATTTTTCAATGATGTACTATGTCTATTAATTCTACCTCATCCCACGGGGGGAGGGGGAGATCTCCCTTTTCCCTCCATATGTGGTTGGTCAGCTACGCCTGATTTTTCTATTTCCCTGCGTGTTACAACTTTACGATGTCCTTACCATCAACTGAAGAAGGCCGAAGCGTACAACGGCCGAAACGTTGTGGATATGGCAATAAAGATGAGGACAACAGTCCGAACAATGTAAATAACGCAAATCCATTCTTTAGTTTCACCAGTTTATGCCTTTACAGCTGGGACACGCCATGGTACTTACACGGAGTCGAATCACCTTCATTTTCCCCGTATTCAGATTGTAAGGACTGTAATGTTCTACTGTGTGAAAGACACTTCCGCAACGTGCACTTCTCTTCAAGCCAAAATCCAGTCGTTATCAGTCCTCCTTATCTTCACAATATTCACTTCCTATCACCTTTTCTTTCATTCATATCACACATTTCCTTTGTCATAAACATTTTAACAGTTATCCTCTACTTTAAGTGTCTCTCAAGCCTTTTATTTGATGAACTTTAGTATTAAAGAATATGGGAAGATATTACTTTAAGAGTTTCCATCGTAAAATGTGAATATATTGCATAAATCTCATCTAGTCAACCGAAATTCCTTCCTTCCCTCCTTCCTTCCTTCCTCTCTGCCCCATAAGCCCTCAGACTTGTACAAGCGTAGAAGATTATGTCACTAGATAAATGGCTATAAAGACGTATTGACCATCATAAAGAAGAGAAAGATGAAATGTTATGGCAACCAGATAACCAGATCGTGAGGTCTCTCCAAGACCATCATACAAGGAATGGTACAAAGGAGGCGAATTGGTATTTCCTACAACGATCGTGTGATGAATGAAGTAGTGTACAGAAAAGTGAGTCATCAGATAAATGTTTATAAAGGCATGAAAAGATGAAGTGTGAATTGGTCTGGCCACGTAACCAAATGGCGAGGTTTCGCTAACACCATCCACAAGGGATTTTACAAGGAGAAAGAAGAAGAGGGCAACAAAGAAAGACGTAGTTAGACAAAGTCATCGAATGGTCGGGTAAATGGTTTTGCTCACAACTAGGCCCTTGTTTACGACCGGATCAAGTGGAGATTTCAAGTTGAGCAACCACCAGTCCGTTGATATAAATATCTACTCATCAAATCCATTTCATATATTTACTATCTTGGACCATAATTTTAATATCTTTACACGAAATTGCGTGTCATTTTACTGATGAATTCATTTCATGTTTATTATTATTATTATTATTATTATTATTATTATTATTATTATTATTTTCTTTGATTTCTGGCGTTTACACATTTCTTTCCGGGTCTGGCCCAGGGACCTAAGGTTAGAAATGGCATCATGACACTTTCCACTGACAAAAAAAAAAAATTACATAGATAAAGCCCTTTGTAAAGTGTGGGCTGTACTTGTGAGAACATTTTTTGTATCTCCTTGAGGCATGGAATTCCAGGAATCCCTTCAATTAGTCTACTGGAATCATTTCCAACCAATCCTTGGGATCCAACTACAACAGGGATTGTTGACGCTCCCATATGCCACATTTTTTTAGATTTCTATTTTAAGGTCCCTATATTTTGACAACTTTTTGAATATCTTCAGAGATACATTGCAGTCAGCCGGGACTGACATATCAATAAGGAGGCACTTTTTTTTTGTTTGTGGTCTCTAATAACAATATCTGGGCGGTTGGCCTTGATTGTTCTGGCAGTGTGTATTGTGTACTCCCATAGAATTGCAACAGGTCCTATCTTCGTAACCGGGTCTGGGTGGTGTCCATGCCATTTTCTTTTAGTTTCCTTCCCGTAGAAGTTGCAGATTTTCCAGTGCATATATTGACTCACTCTGTCATGCCGGGTTTTATATTCAGTGGGTGCCAATATCGTGCCACCTGATACAAGAAGATCAATCGTTTCTGGATATTTATCACATAATCTGCATTTTGGGCTACACAATATTTTAGTATATGTGCTTGATAATTCCTAGTTAGCAAGCATTGGTCTTGTGCAGCAAGGATAAAACCTTCAGTTTCAGCTTTCAACCCTGCACTACAGGGCCACTGATGGGTACGGGTTTTGTCTACGTCAGCTTGTTTGGTACGGACAGAGCATTGGCCATGAAGCGGTTTATCTTGCCATCGCTTCTGTATCTGGTCGGTTGCATTTGTCTTTGC